GCACCCCGAGGAGGCGGCAGTGCTGGATATGTGGGCCTTCTAGGATGACCTCTCCCAAACTGACCTCTGCCCCCAAACGGAGCACCACTGAACCCTATGGAATAACAGAACCGCTTGTATCGTGGTATCTGCTCTCGGCTCTACTGACGAACACCCTCGATCCTTTGAGTTATCTCCACAACTAGCTCGTAAGAAGTCCCCATCTCAACCTCCCGGGCCATGGTGGCCTGGATACCAGAGTGCAAACCTACAACAAACCTCCGCACCCTCTCTGCATCAGTCAGAAGTATTATAAGTGCATGGCGAGACAACTTAGATAATCTCGCCTCATAGTCGGTCACAGACATCTGACCCTGCTGGAGCTGCTCGAACTGAAATCACAACTCTTCCCTCTGAGACGGTGGAATATATCTATCTAGGAAGAGGCGTGTGAACTGCTCCCAAGTCACGGAAGGAGAACCAGCTGGTCTGCCGAGACAATAGGACTACCACCATCTACAGGCCCTGCCCTCCAGCTGAAAGGTGGTAAAGTCCACCCCGTGGGACTCCAATATTCTCATGTTGTGCAGTTTGTCCCTGCACCAAAAAATGAATTCCTGGGGGTCCTCATGTCGCCCACCTCCAAAGATAGGAGGATGAAGCCTGGTCCATCTGTCTAATAGCATTTGCAGCTCACCGGCCGCAGCTGGTATGGGATCAGGTACAACTGCTGTAACTGGCTGGGCTCCCCCCATAGGTAGTGCGTCGGGGGTCTGATATAGGGCAGCTGCATGCCCTAGAGCCTGAGCGGTAGGGGTCTGTGCTCCCCCTCCCGCCTGAGATGTGGCTGGGTCTGCTGGAAATAAACCAGCATGAGTCATAGAATCTATGAACCGCAACATACGGCCTAGGACTTCCTGGAATCCCAGTGCAGAAATGAAATCCACTGGGGTCGGCTCTACTGCAGGTGCCTCGTCCTACTCCTCAATAATAGGGTCCTCTATGGATTAACTGGTGGCACAGCTGGAGCAACTCGAGGACGTCCTCGTCCTCTACCGCGAGATGGAGCCCTCTCTCGGCCTCTAGCAACAGGGGGAACGGTTCTTCCATGATCGGGTACATCGGTCCATCTGTGAGAGAATAGGAGAAAGATACTTAGCACAACATCAACCGCACGATAGGAGATGAAGAAAGAGTAGTTTCCTAACACTCTATAGCCTCTTGAAGATAAGTACAGACGTCTCCGCACTGATCCGCAAGACTCTATTAGGCCTGCTCATAACTTGTGAGACCTACGTGAAACTAGTGCTCTGATACCATATTGTCATGTCTCAAATTTCTCCTATAGGTCGTGATGGCCCCCAACGTCGTTGCTAGGCAAGCCAATGATGAACTAGTCATGTGTTTATTTCTTTTAACAATTTCGATATAGCTGATTTTTATTTATTAAGTAAGTAATAGGTGAAAGATTTTAATTAAATGAAGCATAAACAAATATAAGAACGAGTATAGTGAAATAAATACTCAAAAACCATCGAAAGTCTACTAGCATATTTTTCTAAGACGTGGTATCACAAGTGTATGAGCTACTAGTATAATATACAAAACACTAATTACTATTCAAAATAGGGTAGACAGACATTAAAGGAAAAAAGGAGACTCCAGGTGCTGCAGAACGGGCTCGGAAAGCAGTTCACAACTAAGTCTGGAAGTATCAGGGGTGCGCGCCGGGATGACTACCAGATGCACCTGCCTCAGATCCTACACGATTAGTGCAGAAGTGTAGCGTGAGTACATAAATAACATGTACCTAGTAAGTATCCAGTCTAACTTCAAAGAAGTAGTGACGAGGGGTCGACATCGACACTTACTATAGGCCAACAATAAAATACAGAAATTCTAAACAAATATGAGACATGGAAATAGTAACAATAACACAACGTCAAATAGTGAATAAATGACCCATTAACTAAAAATAAATTCCATAATCTATAGCCAAATTCTATTAACTCCAAATTAATTTCTGTCATTAAATAAATTATAAGCTTTCGAACCATAAATTAATATCGAGTGCAATCAGGCTCCGAGTATTATCACGCATAATTTATGCCGAGGTCGTACGGCCCGATCCAAAAATATACTGTGTGCACTGTCGAGGGTCGAATTGTACAAATAATAGATGCATCTATTACACTGCCGAGGCAAACGACCTGCTCCCATGGGTATAGAGAAATTTACCTCGCTCGCGGAAGTACTTGCGACGCGAGAGGACATGGATTTCTCAGAGATATTAAATATTCATAAATTCTTCCCCAAAATAAGAATTTTAAATTGGAAGTTTTCAACTTTAAAATCTTTAGTCTCAACCCTACTCAAGATAATTAATGTACATAACAAATATGATAGTACAATTAAGGCATGAAGTAAATCTAAGACTACCCAGACATCTCATGAAGTATAGCTACGCACAGACTCTCGTCACCAAGTGCGTACGTAGAACACAAATAACTCATAATAGAATACACCTAAGGGGATGAGTTCCCTCTTACAAGGTTAGGCAAGAGACTTACCTTGTTATCAAGCTCACTTCCGGCCCACAAATTCGTTTTAAAGCCTCAACTCGATACCGAACAATCCGAAACTAGTCAAATGTTATATAAATTAGTCAACACATGGTCAAAGGTTCATATTTAACTATTAGAGTAATTACCCAACCCAGATTGGAAGATTCCTAAATTTTACCCCCGGGCCCATGTGCCCGGATTCCCGAAATCTTTCGAAAATAATTGTTACTCATAAACTCACGAACTCAAATATATAATTTTCACCCAATCCCATAATCATTTTCGTGATTAAATCATATTTTTATCAAAATCTAAGTTTTTCAAATAAACTCATAATTTTACATGTTAAAATCTACCCATAATCTATGTATTTAACTTACATTGGGTAGGAATTACTTACCTTCAATAGCTAGGTGAAAATCTCTCTCTAAGAAGCTCCAAAATCGCCCAAGAAGTGAAATAACTGAACCAAAATTGTCTAAGTCCCATATTAAATGGACCTCACGGCCTCCCAGCGACTTTCGCTTCTGCGGAGAATTGGCCGCATCTGCGGTGCCGCACCTGACTCCACTTCTGCGGACGGTTCCCCGCTTCTGCCGAAAGTGGAGCGCATCTGCGGTCCAGGCCTGGCTAGCCTCTTCTCGCACCTGCGGCCTTTTCATCGCAGAAGCGAGGCCGCTTCTGCGGAAGTTCCTCAGCTTCTGCGGGCTACTGGTCACTCGCCCAAAACAGCTTCTGCAGCCAAGAGCTCGCACCTATGGCCAAAAGCTCGCAGGTGCGGGTACACGAGAACCGGTGCACCAACAACTCCTTTCAAGCCCAAGCTCGATCTGTGCATCGTCCGAGTAGCACCCGAGGCCCCCGAGGCCTCGTCCAAATATACCAACAAGTTTGTAAACATAAGACGGACTCTCTCGAACTCCCGGAACACGTAAAACAACATTAAAACTAAGAATTACAACCCAAACCAAATCAACTTATGAACTTCAAGTTCTTCCAACTTGCTCCGAACGCGCCGAATCATACTTAAACTACTCGGAATGACACCAAATTTTGCGAGCAAGTCTTAAATCACCATTCGAAGCTATTCTTAGACTCGGAATTCCAAACTGACCTCGATAACATCAAAACCTACTTCAAACCAAATTTAAAAAATATTAAAACCTTCAATGAGCCAACTTCCAACTTTAGGCACCGAAATGCTCCCATGTCATCCAAAACCCGATCCGAATACACGCCCAAGTCCAAAAATATGAAACTATTGGGACCATCAAATCCCAGTTCCGAGGTCGTTTACTAAAAATGTCAACCCAAGTCAAGCTTAATCTTTTTAAGCCACTATTAAGGAACTTAGTGTTACGATTTCAACCCGAACTCTTCCAAACCCGAACTAACCATTCCCACAAGTCATGAAACAGTAAAATCACATTTATTTAGGTGAAGGGGGATTTAGAAAGCAAAATGACCAGTCGGATCGTTACAATTTTCGTCTGGTTATCCATTTTGTATCGACTGTTTAGTAAATGGTTGCAACTGATGGTTCTTTAAATACATGGTCTATAGAACCTTTTTGAGCTGGCCCGTGAAGCAAAACATTAAAAAAGGCCATTTAAAAAATAAGTTTATTAAACAAAAATAAAAAATAAAAAATATAAGTTTATTAAACACATATTAATAAAAAATAATATTGGTCTAAACTTTTTCTTTTTTGTTATTTTTTTTTCTTATTCAAACTTGTTTACCACGTTAATTGACTTCCACGTTACTATCTTACATAACAATATTTTGATATTTTGCGGATCCTATGCCATTGATTATTTTCATGGACCCATTTAAATTTTAACACATAGTAGTTGATTTATTTCAGTCCTTAAAATAAATAACTAGTCACAATCAAGGACCTAATGGCCATTATCGTAGATAAAAAAGACGTGTCTTGAATGTTGACTATTGTGATTTTGACAAAGCCAAATAGGAAAAGGTCAAAAATATTTATAGTCAATTGTTAATTTCTAGGAAATAAACATATATTCAAGAGAATAAGAGTTACGGCCTAATGTCTTGTATTAGAAAATTAGAAGCGGTACAACAATTGTACTCAAGAGTGTAGTTTAATGGTCAATAAAGTAAGAAGAAAGACCATGTGATATCGGGTTCAAATTCAAGCAAACAAACGCTAGGTGATTTCCCTTCATATCTTTTGATATTGTGAGCAAAGTTACCATAACTGCACAGATATCCAATAGAATAAGTCGAAGTATACACATACAGACACCACATTAATAATAAGAAAATAAAATGGTACATCAATCTTTTGTACTCTACTTTGATTCAGTCAATGTTGACTGAGTACACAAATTAATATCTTACTAGTTGAATAAATTAGTACTAACAAACGTAGAAGCAATATAAATAGCAAGCTAATGCTATTATTTAGTCCAAACAAATTAAGGACTCTCAAAAAGATTTGGGCCTTGAAAAATAGCTAGCATGGAGTTTTTTGGTTTTCTCTCAATTCTCAAAGAATCCCTTCAACTTCTTCCAAGAAATAAAAAGTTATTAGCACTAACAAGTTTTCTTTTTTTTCTTATTTCCTCTATCCTCTTCTCAATTTTAAATTTCAAACTTAAATTCTTGATCCATGATATTTCTCTCAAGGTATCAATTTTATCTATTTCAACTTCTAATACCTTTAAAATCACCAAAATTCTTGCTGATATTAAAGAGGATTTCCAAATTCTTCTCACTTTATATGTTGCACTTCTTGTTATTCTATTTTTCATCTCTTTTCTATATGCAATTGCAACAATTATATTATCTTTCATTTCTTATAATAATACCAATATTTCTCTCAAAGACTTTGTCTTAAGAATTTCCAGGGCATTTAAATATGCGATTATAACTGGATTATACACGAAAATGTTCGGTATTGGTTACATTTTTATTATCTTATTTTTGCTAAGTCCTCTTTTAATTTCCACTTCCAATATTTTCCTTTTCTCCATAGGAATCTTTGTTGGAATAATTTCTTTCTTCTTCTTTCAATATTTATCGGTTGTTTGGATATTGGCTTTAATTATTTCAGTGGTTGAAGAAAATTATTATGGAATTAAGGCAATAGCAAAAGCTGGATCACTTATTAAGGGGAAGAGAATAAATGGATTTATTTTAAATGTCTTATTTTCTATAATTTCATTGTTATTGTACAAAAGTTATTTGAAGATGAACCTAGGTGCAAAAGGAGTAATTAACCAGACACTTGTGTCTTTATTTCTGGTTAATTTTTCTTCTTTGGTTAGTTTCTTGTGTTTAGTGGCATATACTGTGCTCTATTTTCATTGCAAGAAGAATCATGGAGAAGAAGTTGAATTGCAGTGGAATTTTGAGTATAGCAAAGTATAAAAAAAGTTGTATTTTCTTTTATCTTTGTTTGTCTTTACATTTTGATGGGAGATTTATATTGTAAAGTAATAAGAGTTTATTCACCTAATATAATTTGTTTATCATTTTCCTACTAGTGTTTTGATGCATTTGGACTTTTGTTAGCTTCTTTTTTTTGCTGTTATATAATGAGTTGGTGTACATATTGTTGTTATTGTCTCTTAATCTTGACTTGGTCATTTCAAATAGTACGAAAATCACATTCAATAATGCAGTGGTTTAGTCTTCTCCATTTTAAAAAGGCTAATTGAAACAAGTCAAGCGAAATATTGATGGGCTTACATTTAATAACCTTGAAAACGGATGTTCTTGATATTTTGACCCCCGCTTGTTTTATGGGAAAACTTTTAAAGTCAAAAGTTAAAAGTACTATCTATACAGCAAGCGAGGAACAACACTTGTTAAATTTGAAGTTCTGCATATGGAGCAACTAGGATTAAAAAAATCAAGATCATCTACTTCCAAGGCCATTCTTGCAAATCGCCCCTTACTTGACATATGCTCCCTTTAACCCTATAATTACACCCAAAGAACTTGAAAATAGATGGTCTTAATTTTTTGATCCCTGCTTCTCCCATGGGTTAACTTTTAAGGTAAAAAAGTGTAAAGTATTGCCCATGTGGTAAGCGCGAGCAACACTTGTTAAACTTAAAGTTCTATCATGGAGCAAACGAGATCAAAAAATAAATAATAGCAGCATCGAAGCATTGTATTTGTGCAAATCATCCTTAACCCAATGTGGTGAGATGACTAAACATTTTTCACCGTTAATTAGAGGTTTCAACTCAAGCTCTTAAAATACATAACCTTTTAATAGAGAGTGTTTTACTCCTTGTGAGCTTACTCGTGGAGCCGAATTAACTCTTTGTGGGCTTATACAGCGCAAATCCGAATTAATGTAATAAGTGAATTGCCAATGCCTCACGCATTAAGCAATAAAAGAAAAAGAAAAAAATAATTCTTTTTATTCACCGGGCTGTCCTTAAAAAATATATTCTTTAAACTTCAACTGATAATTTTCAATCTTCAATTAAACAACTGAGATTTCCTGTTGTAGTTTGGAACTATTTTCCTATAAAATTAAATACTACTTCATTTCATTTGATAAAATGAAGATGGAGTATAGAGATCAAACTCTGAATCTTTTAACAACTACAGAAATGGCAAAAAGAGCTAAATAATTTAATATTGGCTTTATTGAGAGCTTATCTCAATCCTACTTGTTCACACCAATTGCTTCTCAAATGGAATCAAATCTGTGTATTTAATTCTGGTATTCCCTCCCATTTTTGACATATTGTTGGAAAGAATAAATGAAGATTACCCCAAATCAAAGCAATTTACCAGTGGAACACTTCATCAATATTCATTTTTTTTTTATCTAAATTTTTTTAATTTAAATTCTTCTTGCAGTTTCTGGCAATGAAATATTTCTTAAACCTATATCAAATTACCGTTGTTAAATGATCTAATGAGATGAAAATACATGTTAATTAACCATGGTTAAGTGAAAAAGTATATGTGTTATGCGCCTGTATGTTAGATAAGTTTTTATCCGAGTACATAAGCATTTATGCTTAATACAATGTGAATTGTGAAGCTACATTAATAATGTGCCTAAATTGTATAGTTTCCCAACTAAATTCTTGTTAAATTATCCGACGTGATTTCATGCTCAATTTACGAAGGATTTTCCTGCCAAATTTCATTTATTTAACAAAATCAATATTGGATGCCAAACCGTATTGATCATCCTCTTAATAAGTAAAGGCAAAATAGGGCAAAATATTTAAAATTTATTTTATTGAGAACTAATTAATCCCTTTCATACTTGTTTACACTATTGCTTCTAAAAGATATTCAAATCTCAATAATTAACTCTGATTTTTTCATTCCTATTTTAGGCATATATAAGGTTGGAAAGGTTACAGAAATTTAAACCAGTATATAGATGATTACAAGACGTAGTGGAAATATTTCAAATCAAAATTTTCCATAGCAATGGAAAACCTCCTCCATATTCACCTTTTAACTTCAACTATTTTCTCAATTGATGTGATTACTTTTGTTTTAGACCAAAGACCAATTAGGGTTACTTTTGGATGTAGCAAAGATTAAATCGGTGAAAGAAATTTCACTGGTACGTATTCTGGGATTGCTGGCCTTGGACGTAGAGTAAACTCAATAAAACTAGGTGGATATTCTTTACCATCGCAATTTGGGGCGAGCCTATTTTCCATGTGTTTACCGAGTTTTTATTCAAGAAAGGGATCTACAATTGGTTTCCATAAAACTCCGTGGCCTAGAGCAACATCAGCAAAATTATTACCAAATTATAGGTACCCTACACTTTATTTTGTAAAACTTTATAAAGTTTTTATTAATGATAGGGCAGTCCCGGTTAAGCCATCATGGTGGCGTTTCAAAAGAGATACGAGCGGTGGGGTCGTCTTGAATACAGGCACAACTTTTACTCGTTTTTCAAATGATTTTTATGTCATATTTCACTACATATTTAGAGCTGAAGTACGAGATATTCCTATGGTTGAAGGTCCAGTTGGACCTTTTGATACGTGCTATAAAGAGGATCCAAATGGCCGCGATCTCTATTTTCCTGTTGTGAAGTTATATTTTGGTAGTGAAGATCGGCGCACAATGTTGTCGTTGGCGCAAAAAACGAGTTGTTGTGCACTATCGTGGGCACTACTGTCTAGCTTTTTTAGTGTGGAACAGCGACTTCTCAATATTAGGCAATAATCAACTCTAGGGCGTAGGATTAACTTTTGATACTTTAGCAAGTACTTTGTCATTCGACATAGATGCATGTGATTAAGGCATATAAATTTCTATAGTCTTAATATAAGGTATATCCACGATCACTACTAATATATCTTCTTCTTTTCTGTATGCTTCTTTTCTTATGACTCCTTATATAAAAGCTATAGATACCAATATTTGCTAATTAGCATATGAACATTGACATCCACGTTATTCTCATGAAATCTAGCTAAACTTATGTAACTAATAGTTGTGGTTGGAAATGTAATTAATTGGATTAGACCAAATTAAAACACCACTGATCAGTAATTCTCGATTTGTAATCAGACGATTAATGTATGTGACTCTCACGATCCGAAATTCTCACATTCGGACCGTGATGGCGCCTAACATTTTACTTGCTAGGCAAGCCAACGTTAGAATAATATTAACTATTTTTTAAACAATCTTTAAATTATTAATAATCAAAGAAATAAATGCGGAAGCAAAGTTTGAAATATAGTGAAATAATCCATAAAAACAACGGTGTCTAAATACTATCCCAGAATTGGTGTCACAAGTGCACGAGCTTCTAGAATAAATACAAATAAAAGTCTGAATAAAATAAAGCTATCTGGAAATAAACACACAGCTAAAGTAAAAATAGACGGGGACTTCAGAACTGCGGACGCCATGCAGTTATACCTCAAGTCTCCTCTGGTAGCTGGAATCCGAGCAAGTCTATGGTACGCCGCTGGGACCAACTCCAAAATCTGCACAAGAAGTGCAGAGTATAGTATCAGTACAACCGACCACATGTACTGGTAAGTGCTGAGCCTAACCTCGACGAAATAGTGACGAAGCTAAGGCGGTTCACTTAATTAACCTGTACGTAATATTGATGACAACAACAAATAATAGAAATAAAACAGATAACTCATTTATAATAATTGAAGCCAACTCAGCAGTCATAATCCATTATCATTTCAATTAATTCTGTTGCAGCGTGAAACCCGCTCTCACAGTATATTCACATTTAATTTTGTTGCAGCATGCAACCCGCTCTCCCAATATATATATTCCTTTTAATCAAGTCTGTCATATATTTATTTCAATCAAGTATATTTATAAACTTTTAAATAAGTCTGTTGCGGCGTGTAATCGGATTTCCCAATATTGACTTTTAAATAAGTCTATTGCGGCGTGCAATCCGATCCCCCAATATTGACTTTGAAATAAGTCTATTGCGGCGTGCAATCTGATCCCCCAATATTGATATATTTACTTTCATTTTCGTTGTGGCGTGCAATCCGTTCCCCCAATATATATATAACTTTAAACAGCTCATAATGTAAATAAAAAAATTCCAATAAATACCACGTCCAATGAGAACTATTAAACATCAAGGCACACAATAATTATAATTTATTTATGAACAAACAATGACAATAATAATTTATTTTAAAAATCAGGGAAAAAATAAACAGTTTAATATTTAATATGCTAAATGCCAAGTAGCAATTAGTGCACATAATTCAAATAAGCATGTAGCATTTATTACAGGAATTTAAGAATTAATATTTGGCAAAGAATAGGAAAAAAATAATTATTATAACAATTAATTTATGGTTTAAAATAATTTATGATTTTTCAAGTAAGCAGGCAAATAATAAATTTCACAACGTATAGACACTCGTCACCTCGCCTATACGTCGTTCACATGCATTTCACATAATAAATAATTTAAGGGCTCTATTCCCTCAAGTCAAGGTTAACCACGATACTTACCTCGCTTTGCAAATTGCAATCAATTATTCAACCACACCTTTTCCTTTTAAATTTGTATCTGAAAGCTTCAAATCTATTCACAAATAATTCGATATACTCAATATGAATCATAGGAATTAATTCCATATGAATTTACTAATTTTTCGGATAAAAATCTGATATTCATTTAAATATTTGACAGTGGGACCCACGTCTCGAATCCCAAAAAACTCGCGAAATCCGAACACCCATTCCAATACGAGTTCAACCATATAAAAATTGTCCAATTCCGATATCAAATGGACCTTCAAATCTTAACTTTTCATCTTTGAAAGATTTTATAAAAATCTGATTTCTTCCATTTAAATCCGAAATAAATGATGGATATAGACATGGATTTGTGAAATATAATCACTTTTGATTAAATAACACTTACCCAATTCAAAGTCGTGAAAATCCCCCTTGAAATCGCCCAAATCCGAGACTTGAAACTCAAAAATGAGTAAAAATGGCGACTTTCGAATCTATGGGCTCTGCCGAGTCATTTTC